GAATTGAAAGTGCTTTATTACAATGGGTGAAAATTTGGAGAGAATCAATCATTCTGCGTAATCAATCTGCACAATATTGCATCAGAGGCAATAGCAAACTGAACTACATACAAAGCCAGACTTCATGCTTTGAGAAAAAAAAAGAATAATTACTATAAGTGGGACTTTTGGACAAAATTTCCAAATGACATATAGGTAACATGGAAGAAATAGATATTTAAAGAAATTTTTTAGTGTTTTTTTTTCCCCTTGTCTTTCTGAAGGATGACTTATTGTGGCTTGGAGGAAATTTAAGGAACTGAAACATTTAAAGAAATAGATTAGATATTGGCAATTACTATGAATAAATGAAAATGGTTCATAGCACAGAAAATATCTTGGAAGATTGTGCAGATTTAGGAAAGAAAGTGATCAAGACTCAGGTGACGCCCTGAATAACAGAGTCATGTAAGAAAAGTAGAAAAGAACAATCAATATGAGAATAAAAACTCTGAAAGCTAAAGTGTAGTCTCATGGCCAAAAATTCTCATCAAAATCCTTATGAAGATGTTTCCCCTTATTTTCCTTATAACATCAATGTGTATTTGTGTATCATACATGTATGTTTGATTCTTTCATTCCCTCAGAGAACTGGAAAGATTTAAATACTTTGCACTTTAGAATATTACATGTCTTGGATGTAGCACCTTTGTTCTATATAGTGTGTATGCTTTTTCTTCAGTATACATAATTTTTAAGCTATATTTCTCTTTTTCACTCAGTTGTCTTTCCTATAATTTAAAGCCATAAAATTGCATTGGTTTTTATTTTCAGTGCATTAAGCCCTCATAGAAAGACTTTTATTTTTTTACTTGTGGAAATTTCTTGCTGTCACATTTTGGCATTCTTCCACACAATAAGCAGTTGTGTAGCACTGGCAAGTGTCCATATATCTAGTTCTAAAGAAGTGTACCCTTCACTGTGTATCTACCATTTTCTCTTGACCCGACCTTTCTCTTTGACCTGGCTTGACTTATCTAATTGTGATTGTGGTGCCAAGTTCCTTCTGCTTGTGACCCACCACACACACATACACACAAATCCCTGGGAGACGTTGACTTTTGGGGGGTAGTTATAAAGCTAGAATGAAGAAGTTGGAGAGTAATAATAGGAATCGAGTAGATATTGCGGAACAAATTGATTCAAACGAGCTACTCTCATTAAACATATTCTCAGTAGGCGACATAATGGATTCTCTTCTTTCCTTTTCATGTGGCAAGTGGCTACTTTTGTGCACTGGGGAGAAGAGTCCATGTCTGTTTTGTTTCCTGCCCTTTGATTCAGGCTATTCTATATTGCCGAGAACCAGAAAAGGCTGGAGCCATTGTGCACTGACATAGTCCTCGGAGGCCCGTTGGGAATAGTGGCAGCCAAATGTTTCCCAAAATGGAGGCAGTGCGGCTTCTGCTGGCCCACCGGTGTCCGCCTACTTTATTTAAAAACTTATTTATCTTCCCCAAACTGCAGATGAAACACAGAACCCTTTCCAGTTTCTGTCATCATCACCATCTTAAAAAAACATGGTTTCTTTTAGTGATCTAGCACTGTATTAATCTTTTGCCAGACAGAACACTTCTCTAGCTTTCTGTGAAGGTCTTTTTTTCTCCAGTCAATCCATAGATTCCTTTTTCTATAGTGCTGCCTGAAATATCACTGATTTATGGTGAATTTAATTTTAACCACCACATCTCCTCCTCCCTTTCCTTCGTTCCTTTGTTCGTTTGTTTCTTCCTTCCTTGTTCCCTCCCTCTCTTTTTTTTCTTTTATTCAATACGTATTTAAGGTCTATTTGCTTAACACGCCAGGTACCAGGGATGCAGTGGTGAAAATGTAACACCAGGAAGCTATCGTCTAGAAGGGAAGAAAGATATTTTGAAAATTAGTAAATTGTAGTTGTAATAAGCACTGCAAAGTGCAATAATATAAGTGTGAATAACAGGGTGAAGAAACCTGCCTGTGGAAGTGATGTTTAAAAGGAGAGCTGGAGAGTGAGTAGAAATTATTGAGACAAAGGGTATGAAGGTAGAGTCCGAATCCATGGGAGTGTTTTCAGGCAGAGAGAATGGAATGTGCAAAGGCCGTAAGACCCAAAGGAACAGGGTTGACTCACATCATAAAGAGGCTAATGAGGCCTGAATTCAGAGTGAGTGAAGTGAGTCTGAGATATTATGCAGAGGCCACATGGACCAGGTTGTCATAGTTAAGAGTTTAAGGTTTATCCTATTGTAAGAGGATACCTGTGAGATGGAATTAAAGAAAACAGACACAATGCACACAGATATTTAAGAAGGATAAACTGTTGTTCTAATATTGTCAGCAATTTGATTTTTAAAGATGAAACTATCAATTTATCTTCTTTGTTCTGGGAAGAACTGTTTTAGTGTCTTAATCACGATTGTATAAGACAGGTTGGAACCTGCTCTTCCAAGGGAAGTGTAATAGGAGATATTTTTGCCAGGGGAAACACCTCATTCCTGCTCTATAGAGAGTCTTGCTGCTTCTCCCCAGTGATCTTAGGCCTATGGATTTAGACAGGAGGGTGAAGAGTAGACCCACTTTCATAGGAGTCATGGGAATTTCTGGGTGGACGAGGATTACGATCCGTCTTAGAGTTCCAAGTTATTATACCCCATCTGATAGATTAGCATAATGGAAAGAACGAAGAGCTTCCTCTCCCTTTCATCCAAAAGAATGTATCAGTGGTGTAGCCTGGGTCTGGTCAGAACACAGAGGCATTGTGTGCATTCTGAATAGGAAGGATTTCAAGACAGGGAAATAGAGGCTTATGTAACTGTTGAAAGCACTGCAGGAGCAAAGGGCAGGAAAGCTGCACTGATGATCTCAGCCCACAGCAGTGATTTCCATGATTCTGAAAGAAGCTCAGGTTACTTTGATCCTCATGTCAGCTCACGTGCCTATCTGCAACTGCCTGCAACTGCCTCCAGAGGGTAACAGCCTCTCCATCTCTTCTGCCTTCTAGATCTCACGCAAATGCCTCTCATTGGTAGACTCTAACTATAATCATACAAGGAAGTGGATTCTGGAAATGGAGTTCCCGGTTTGTGTTCTGTGATGCATAAGAGACCTTTGGAGAGGGTGGCAATGATGTCAAGTTGACCAAGGGACAGTCCAGCCCAGATGGTGACCCTGGCTCAACATCAGAGCCTCAGCTGCTGTGAGGGAGATAGGGTTCCCAGTAGAACAGGCTCCCACTTTGAGAGTGTGGATGTGCCTCCTTGAGACTTCCTGTAATAGCCAGCGTTCTCTGGAGAAACCGAACCCCAATAGTGTGTGTGTGTGTGTGTGTGTGTGTGTGTGTGTGTGTGTAGAGAGAGAGAGAGAGAGAGAAAGAGAAATGGAGACAGAGAGAGATTTATTTGAAGGAATTGGCCCATGTGATTATGGAGGCTGGCAAGTCTAAAATCTGCAGGGTGGGCCCTCAAGCTGGCAGAATCCCCTCTTGCTCAGGGGAGGTCAGATTTTGTTCTAGTCAGATCCTCATCTGATTGGATGAAGCCCTTCCACATTATGTGGGGCAATCTGCTTTACTCACAGTCCACTGATGTAAATGTTAATCTCATCAGAAACACCCTTGACCAAATATCTGGGCACTGTGGCCCAGCCAAGTAGACGTATAAAATTCACATCACACTTCCCTTTCTTCATTTATACCTGAGAAGTTCCACCACTGCTAGATGCTGTTCTGAAATAAACAAAAAAATTTTAATCAGTATGCCCCAAATTAAAAATTCATGATCTTTTTATGTATATATAGTTCAGTCCAACTCTTTTAAAAGAGTGTGATAATTATTTTTTCCCTTTTCACTTAGATTTAGGAAAGAGTAGAGACATCTCTTTGTGCTGTACCCTCTCAATATTCAATCATTGATTCATTCATTCAGTCAGTCTTTCAACAAGTATTTATTGAAGATATAGGCACTGAGGCTAGTGCAGTGATATGGATAATAGATCAGATCCAGAAAATAACATGTTAAGCTAGGGAGCCACACAAACATTTTGTGGTAACTGGTGAAAAAGAATAAAGGAAACTGCAAGTGCAAAAGATATTAGATTTATAAGCTTGCAAGAGCTGATCCAAGAAGCTTTATAAAAGAGTAAAATTTTACGAGCAAATTAAACAAGTGAAAGTTTACAAATCTTAGCAAATCATGATGTCTGCAGACCTGTTCCCTGAATAATCAAAGATGAGTCTGGACAATTGTTTATTCAAACAGTTTAACGTTGACCAACTAACATAGTTTATTTAGGAAGCAAATGCCTTAGTAAAGAATATACAGACCCTAATGCATATTTAATGACTTTTTCATTGCCCCCCCAATATCATTTCCTTTGTAAGATCCTGATTTTACCAACTGCTGTCTTGCCAACTACTGTGCTTTTAAGGAGGATAACTGCCATGGTTGATGGAGAATTATTATGTTGAGAAGTTGCTGAGAGGGTAGTTTTTGGCCATATGAGAGTGCACATTTCATGGCAGTATCACCAACTCTATAGTATGAATAAAATTGGAACAAAACTGGCAAGTAGATTTCTAAGATAGTTCCCAATGACCCTCACCCTTATATAATACTCTTCCCTGGGGGTGTGGATGGCACCTGTGAATATGATGAGATGATTATATTATACTCTCTGGTAAAAGGAAGATTATCTTGGGTGGGCCTGGACTAACCAGGGAAGCCCTTTAAGAGTGGAGAGTTTTCTCTGGCTGGTTTCAGAAGTCAGAGTTTCAAGGCAGCAGAGACATACTCCTGTTGGCCTTAAAGAAACAAATGCTGTGTTATGGAAAGGGCCACTTGTCAGGGAACAGTGGGAGGCCTCTATAAGTTACAGATGCCCTGGTTTACAGCCAGCAAGAAAACAGGGACCTCAGTCATAAAACCTTCAGGAACTAACTTCTGCCAACAATAGAATGAGCTTGGAAGTGGATTTTCTTTTTTCAGAGCCTCCAGATGAAAACTCAGCTCAGCTGACCCCTTTATTTCTGCTTCGTGATTTACTGAGTAGAGGACCCAGTCACACCATGCCGGACGTCAGGACTACGGAATTGTGAGTGAATTAAGAGTTATTGTTTTAAGCTGCTAAATTTGTGGTAATTTGTTGTGTAACAAAAGAAAGTTAAGACAAAAAGGAAAACAAAACAATATCCAAATTTTATTTCTTTTGGATGTGATATTGTGCTGAAATTGGTCTTGTGGTTCCATCGTTCTATTTAGGTCACGTACAGTAAGGTATGATCTCGATGGTGAGGTGACATAGCTGGAGGTAGGCCTCCCATAATGGAAGGGTGGTTCCTTTAGGAGAGGCCCACTTCAAACCTTGTAAAATCGCGGAACAAGTTAAAAAAGGGTATTTTCCCCATAAACTTCCTGAATGTGTGGGTCACTATTTGGGTCACTATTTTTTTTATCATTAATACTTCTATGAACATGGGGTTTAGAATAGTCAGCTAATTTGTTAGTTAGTTCAAGACTTGATAATACTTCAAACTCAAGTATGTGACTCACATAATCACTTTGTAATGTTCAGTTTAGAGCTGCTATGGGCTAATTCATTTTTAATTTTTTTTTGTAAAATAATTCACTTTCTAACTGGTAAGGCATAAATCATCTTCAAAACCTTTTCATAAGTTCAATATAATAGTTTTAATAATCAGAATTATATTTATTTCAAGAGAGGCTGAATAAAGGATCCAAATGTGTAAAGTTAGAGACTTCTTGAGAAAAACATAAAATGCAAATCTAACTTTATACATTATTCTCTTTTTAAAAATTTATTTATTTATTTATTTTGGCTGTGTCGGGTCTTAGTTGTGGCATGCAAGATCTTTGTTGCGGCATGCAGGATATTTTTAGTTGTGGCATTCGGGATCTTTAGTTGTGGCATGCGGGCTTCTTAGTTGCAGCATGCGGGCTTCTTAGTTGCAGCACGTGGGCTTCATAGTTGCGGCATTCATGTGGGATCTAGTTCCCTGACCAGGGATAAAACCTGGGCCCCCTGCGTTGGGAGCGTGGAGTCTCACCCACTGGACCACCTGGGAAGTCTCCTGTACATTATTCTTTATCTTCTTTCCCTATTATAAAATGTTTAAATATTTAATTCCTTGAAATTCTGACACTGATCTCTATACAAATTCTTTCAGCTCTGCTATCATGCATTATATATTTAGGATAATTGCGTATTGTATTAAGACAAAATAGATCAACGATCTTTAATTACTTGTTAGCTAGAAGGTTAGAGCTGCAGCTGTGGTTATTCTTCTCCTTTTTCTTCTGCCTGTGACTCAAATCTCAAAACCTCTTCTCACACTCCAAAATCAGACCCTTCGCTTCATGTCCAATCATCTTTTTCCCTTTAATTCTCATCGTTGACCTTTCCTCACCCTAATTTTCCATGAGCTTTTCCTAGCTTCCTCCTTTTAACTATTATTTTACCTACCTTTTCTCATAGACCGTTTCTTTCCACCACTACTGCCCTCCCAACCCCCAGAAATTAATTTCTTTCCTCTTCTCTGTTTTTCTTTTTGCTAAATAGTTACTTAACTCTAGAAATGTATAAATTCCACACAGAGATTGGGCCAGGATATAACTGATTTATGCAAGTAAACCTCTTTCCTTATTTTCCTCTCTTATTAAGAACCTTCTCACATCCTTAACATAAATTTAATCAGCTTACCTTTACCTTCTCTCTCAACTTCTAGCTCCTACTTCATCATTATAAATTGCTGAATACCTGTGCGTAATACCAGGGCTAGATTGTGCAAAAGTTGGGACATTCAGAATGTTACTTAGGAATTTTACCTGCATTTTCTAGGATCCTATCAGAGATCTGCTGAAAAAGAACAAGAGAACATAGGGTTCTGCTGGATCAGATGATACCTTTGTGCACATTGGCATAATCAACCATGTGGGTGCAAAGCTTAATGAGGAGAAGAGACCTTTATGCAATTTTGAATGAAGGTAGCCTTTCCTGTGGAAGGTTATAGCATTGTGTCAAGGTTTATGATTAGAAAAGGGATGGGTGGGCTGCATCCAGCCTCAGCTCATCCCCTTTGCTGGGCCATTTTGTGCAGTGAGCAGCCTGCACGATTGTATGTGGCCTGACTGGGAAGTGCGACTCCAGTAAATGTAGAACAAGCGGAGGATAAAGAGTAAGGTTTATGTTATGAAATGTAACAGCAATTCATATTTCCTTGGAAAGAATTAAAATTTACTGAAAGTCTTTTTCAAGGCAAATACTGAAAGTATAAGGAATGATCATTAAGGTTTATAATAAATTAGGCATTAGAAATGTGTATTTCAGTAGGAAATGAGAGTAAAATTGGGAAAGTAAAGATAGGTAGATGGGGTATAGAACGCTGTTCAGCAAACTTTTTGTTACAATGCCAGATAGTAAATAGTTCAGGGTTTCTAGACCATATAGGCTCTCTGTTGCAATTTTTAAAGTCTGCTCAAAAGCAGCCATAGAAAATTTGTAAATGAATGGGCATGGCTGTGTTCCAGCAGAATTTTATTTACAAAAGCGGGCTGGGAGGGGTCGTATAGAGTATTGAGAGAAAAGGGTTCACGGAGGCATTTGGTTGGTGTGAATCTGCTGTTGATGCAGAAAGAGCTCTAAACCTGAGTAACAAGTGTTCATAAATTATCAGACAGATAAATTCCACACAGGTTGAAAAAGAACCTTTTGATAACCAATTTGAATTTATAGATCTACAAACACTAGGAATGGAAGTTTTGTCAAGCATTTGTTTCTCTGTTAAATCTCCTGTAATATATACACTTGACAAGATTAAAAACTGGACTAATAGACTATATTTCACATAAAATGTTACTCTTTAAACTTCTTTTTCAGTGCTCAGTTTAAACAATATATAATGGTTGTATATTATGATCCTTTGGGTCATGGTGAATTTTATTTCCTTTGCTTCATAGCAACTAGCTGATATCAGAACTGACCTTTGTTGCAGCTGGCCTTGCTAATGGAACTCAGATGGTTTGCTCAGATAAGTAATACTTCGGGGAAAATTCACTGTAAGCAAAATACTTGAAAAGATATGAGAAAGGGCAACACTTGGGCTATAAAAACAGACTTTATATTTCTCCATGGAAAAAACTTTATGGTCCTAGCATTTTACTCATTCCCTAATTATCTAAATATGTCATTCCATAGCATAAATATAAAGATATTTTTGCTCTTTGAGGGCAAATTGCCCTGAGTTATCAAACTCTCAGATCTTGAAAAGAATCAGTCTTGAAAAGATCCTTCTACCCCTTCCCCTCCCTCCCCTCTCCTTCTTCCCTTTATCCTTTCTTTTTTGTGTGTCTGTTTTCAAGATGAATATAGACTGTTCCAGCAAAGTCTTTATAAAAACTATGTGAAAGAGGTGAGTGCTGATGGGTTATGGGCAACTGGACATCTGGGCCTTCGTGTTTCCTGCATGGAGCAGAATTCCTTTGGCCACACCAGCCCTCCTGTATTGTCTATTGTAGTCTGTAACCTCTCCTTTCACTGAAAGGGGCAAATTTATGAAGGGGTTCACACAGCTCTTCTGGTTTTTAAGGCAACTAAGGCCAGCTGGAATACACTTTATTCACTGTAATACACTTTATTTCATTAGATTTTTATATTCCAGTGAAAACTGGCTGTTGAGAGGCCTCAGAGTCAGGGTTTAGATTTTGATTGTCATTTACCACTGCTAGAAAGAAATTAAACAAATTCTAGTGAGGACATATCTCAGTGAAAAGAAACCTTCTCTTCCATAGCACATTGATGAAAAGAAAGCTCAAAGTTACAAGGATTTTCTGAATTCCATTGACTCTTTACTGCTAATTAGTAGCATGACTTATTTGAGTGCACTTGATACTTGCTTTGACTTGCTTTTAATATCACTCTAATTTCCCATGGAACCTTTTTGTTCTAAACTTGTGCGGATAAATATACAAACTATGGACAGGACCAGTCTTGTTTATTTATGAAACAAAGTTTTGTTATTACTATATTTGGAGTTCATTTCTAGGCAGTTAAAGGAAGGAAGTAATTAGTACCTTCTTTGAAGGCCATTTTGAAATTTTATGAAAAAAAGTATGTGATAGGAAATCAATCTGGGAATGCAGTGGGTGAACTGATTCTAATCCTACTCAGTGTATGATGCTAGATGGATTTTCTAGTTCTGGTTGTGGGGTGGGGATGGCGTATTTCTGTGGGGTTGGAGACTAACAATAGTAGCTTGTATGCCTTTCCTGTGTGTGTGGTCTCTGGAACAAGTAACCTAGAGAGAGTGTGCCACTGAGAGGGCTAGCAGGGATGAAGCTAATGAATATTCAACAACGTGGCTCTGCTTATCTCCTCAATGTGATTCAAATGTGATGCGAGAAAAAGGTGAATGCAGGTTGTTGGTGAGAGGAGAACTACAATTTCATCCAGTACTTGAAAGGCATTAATTTCCAGCAGCATAGATATTTGTCAGTGACACCTTACAGCATTAGGTCAAGTCTGTGCATTTATTAAATGGTTTTTTTTTTGAAGAATCACCCCAATGGCTGCTAGACATAGAACGCTGCTGCTCCAAGTAAATCACTGGTTTACACCAGATCTTGACATTTACAGCCTATCTAGCATAAGATGCTATAAATATAGGTTTTGGTTATTTACTTTATAGTAGAAATATTCAGTGTATTATGAATTCGTATTTGTTAAGACTTGGGGAACCTTTTGGTTAAGATTTCTTCAGCATATTTGCTGCTACTGAATTTTTTTTCCCTTTTGGTTCAGTGAAGGTGATTCCTTTAGGCCCTGTGACTAATTTCCCAAGATCCAGAGATTATCTAATGAGTTCCTCAGAAAACTTTGGAACAAAATTAATTCAGGATTTACTGAGTGACTAATGTAATCATATCTCTGGGGAAATAGCTGACCCCTAGTTTACTGGTTAGTTGCAAAAAATTCTGGCAATGAACAGAAACAAGGGTAAACATCTGTTATTTTAAAAATAACTCGGGCTTCTGTGGTGGTGCAGTGGTTGAGAGTCTGCCTGCCGATGCAGGGGACGC